TAAGACCCACAAATACCAATTTTTAGACAAATCCATGGAAAGAGTGACGAAAACGATCAAAATACCGAATATCAGGATGTACCGTTGTATGAGAGCTATGAGAGCAGCGTGGATCTATACATACAATGGTTCGCAACACGAACCAGGACCCAATATGATCTACAAATACCAATTTTTAGACAAATCCGTGAAAAAATGTGACAAAAATATTCAAAATACGGGGGACTATACCAAAACGTGGATCGATATATCTCATTTTCAATACCAACCGTCCTATACACAATACAAATCGTTCTGCTAAATGTTGACGCTCTACGTCAAATAACGTGGGCTGTATCGTGATTTCAACAGACAGACAGACGGACATCGTTAAATCGACTTAGAATTTTATGCTGATTATGAATATATATACTTTATGGGGTCTACGACGAATATTTAGGGAGGTTACAAACGGAATGACAAAGTTAATATACCCTCCTTTCCAACGTGGAGGGTATAATAATATGAAATTTTCCACCAAACCGCAAATATTTTGAATCCTGGCGAAATCACAAATGCACGAAAATGTTGCTTCTGGCCATTACATTGATGCTCATAGCCATGATATCGCAAAATATGTCACTGGATGTACGTTAGACCGCTTATATCTCAAGAACGGCTAGACGGGTTTTTGCCAATTCTCGCAAATTCGAAATGACCTCTTGCTAGAAAAGGATAAAATCTAAGAAAATCGCGTGAAAATATGCTAATGAAAAGGTGAATATTTTTGTCATATTTTTTATCGCTTGAGATTATTCATATTTGACTTACAATATTGATTTTTTTCGTTTGGTAATATTTTTTCACCTTACAACACTATATTTTGGGAGTATTATATTCAAATCGCAATTAATTGTATAGTATTATATAATAGTATTATATTCAAGTCGCAAGAAATTTTGCATAGAAATAGAGTTATGGTCAGAATTAATGCCTATTGTTTTTCAAGGTGTTTATTTATGGGTTCAAATGGACCAAAAATTAAAACTTCCCTGAACTTGCAGTGGTTCTAAAGGTCACAATTATAAATCAATCCACACGGAATTTTACAGGAGGTTTACGACATCAAAGAAGTGTAGCATTTTGGACAATATTTGAATTATATTTAACGCATAAAATGGACCACGACTTTTGTGTGAAACTGTTTTGGATACCTTCAGGCACTACATAGAGTGTAAATATAAGAAAAATATCACCGGTAAAAGAACCAAAGGTGACATTAGTGCAGGACAGTATGCCATTATGTCAAATAATCGATAAAAATGTGATTGGATCTAATTTGTTTTTAAGATAGTTTTCAAACATAAGTTTTTAGAACAATTTTCGAACAAAAATTCCATTATTTTTAAATACTGGAAAAAAATCATTCATACATTTTTTCGCGAAAAATATAGTCGTACACCTGTCTATGGCAAAACAAATTCACATAATTGTGTTGACATACTAAATACCTATGTTATCTTTATAGACATTGTACTTTCATTTGTCGAACACACGCACATACACCTAAAATTGGTGTTAACAATTGATAACAACGGCAAGTGAATTTGTTTTTTTTTTTTTTTTTTTGGTAAACACTTGTTTTGTTTATAAATTCACAAAAGATTGCATAAAATATTTCAGTTATTTACCGAATGCAATTAACACCAAAAACTGTTGGCGTTTTTTATTTGCAGACCATCATGTGATAAGAATATGAAAATCCTTTTGATATGACTTGCATTTCGTATAGATTGGTGATATTTAAGAGATTGATAAATGAAAGAAAATTGTCATACTTCTCACGCAGACCTCTACTATGCTACCAAAATCACTGTTGAGCAAAGGAATGTCATGGCAAAGAATTCATTTCTTGGCATCCGCATTTTTTGAATGACATTTGTCTAGCCGACCGACAACCATCAATGTCATGACAATGATATACGAATGACAGACCATTTCATTTAAATAAATTACAAAATTATTTAGATAAACAAGACATTATTTATAAAAAAATGTATGTATATGTGTAGGTACATATATATTTATATGTGTCTATAAATACCCAAATATTTAAATCGCTGAAGAGTGAAAGTATTTTAAACGAAGGAAAATTTCGAGATATTAAAAAAATACGACATTTTTTTATTTAAATTACGACATTTTTTATTTAAATTTTATCGTTTCCTTGGCAACAAAAAGTACTTGGCCTATTGTCAAAATATTCCTCAATTTGTACCAAGTACGTACGCAGCGATAGATCCTTTTTTACTTTGATTGTACATTGTATTAAGTACCTTTGTACCAATTTCCAAGGACGTTCCTTTTCTCAACATTTTTCAAATAGCATTAACCATCATGTCAATTTCACGTTTCTAACTTCTGGACATTCGTAGAAAATCCATGCTACACTTTTTCGAACGGCTCAGATATTCTCTACCTTTTTATACTTTCCACGATAGTATGGATTGTATATTACGAAGGTATAATTAAGTTAGTATTTGGTGTTAAAAATATATAACGTATTCTCAGATGAAATATTTTCTAAATATTCCCACATTGTCGTATAACCGCTATGTAACCATATGAAGCGATATTCGGTAATTCCCATCACAGAAAATTACCTGCTTGGGTCCTTTATATATCCCCCAAATAATGGTATTTTCCAATATTCGTCATTTTTTTCGATTTTAAACAGGATTGTCACAAAGGTGGTATTATGAGTTCGTAATAGTCATCGTCTCACCGGCAAATATTTGGCTATAGACGTCCACGTATAGTCCACCAACCCGACTTTCGATGTTTGAATAATTTTCGCAGCGTTTTTCATCGGAATTATCAAGATACTTCCAAATGGTGGAGGGTATTAAAGGTTAAGCTTGGCCGAAGTTACTACATCTTAGAAATGCTTCATAGAGGGTTAAGACATAAGGTCTCTCCGGACCAAACCCGTTTTAGGACATTTGGAGTCGATCTAGGGGAGCCGATACTCGGTATTTTCATAATTTTAGTGACATTATTTACAGGAATTATTTCAAATTTCGCATTTGAAGTTCGTAATGGGTACTACAGCCTATGACAATAAGTTTTGTATGCAGGTCCACGTCTTCGTATAACCCCCATATGACGGTTTTCATTTAAGTGATAGATTAAGTAATTTTGTTGCAATTGTTCAAGTTCCTATCGTATGGTGGAGGGTATTAGAAGTTCGGCCTGGCCCAACTTAGCTGCACTTTTACTTGTTATATCCTAAACATAAATCCAACATAACAATGTTTTAAGTTATCTTTTGTTTTTAAACCAGGATTCAGGCCAGTTTTTAAACCATTACCTTTCTAACAAAATGGAAAAACTTATTCGGGTATGGCTCAAAAATGATTTTGTCAAAGAAATCTAATTTGATTGCTTTAAAAGTTCAAAAGAAATTATTTTATTTAAAAAAATTAACACTCCTTAATATTAAAATAAGATTTCCCAAAAATAATTATGACAACAATGTTGTTGCCATACTTAAAGGAAAAACATTTCACCTTGTTTTGCATGCGGAAAAAAATAATTGCCTGACGTAAAACAAATCATAATAATTATATACCATTTAAACAGGAAAATCACCAAATCGGAACATTAATCATCCCGTCGTCTGTTATGTCATTGACTTATCACACCATTTTCTAAAGATAAACATGAAATAAAATAAATATTTCCCAGAAGATAAATTCGCATCTGTTGAGACAAATTCTTGACATTTTTCCTCTCCCCTCACGGGGTGGGCTGTTTGTTTTCGCTCTGACGCAAGTATTTTGAAATAGAAATGCTTAAATGTTTATTTCATAAATAACAAAAATAATAATAATAGACGAATTTGTTTCTATTTTTGTAGTCATAAAATATCTATTTTCGCCGGATTGCAACACACATGTGTGTTAAGGTGTCGAAATTCATTAAGTCCCTTATTTTTTTCCCGATTACGATATGGAAAATGAACTTTGTAATGAGATAATTGGGTTAGAACGAATTACTTATCATCACCCAGTAATAACAACAAGGGAATTGATTTGCGTGTGAGAGTGTTTTTTTTTTAATGAGCAAAAACTATTTTGTATTCCAATCAATATCACAATCTATATTATGTTAAGGATGAAATAACTCATCTGAATCACAACAACTACGTCATATTCCGCACTGAGTATATCCATCACTTTTATTGGCGTCTGATTTCTTGGCCCTCTCTCACTCCCTGCCTCTCGCTTTCTCCCAATCGGCATTGTTTTCCTATGTAAACAATGTGAATAATATTTCACTTCACAGGAAAAGCGAAACAAAAATTAGCAAACAATTTTTGTTGTTTTTGGGTTCCCCAAAAAAAAAGGAGATTTATTATTAACAAAATGTTTACATCAAATTGCAAATGCCAGAATTTTCCACTATTTTTAGATCAAAAATGAGGATGAGTAACTTGTGAGCAAAAGTGAAAAGCCAAACAATCCACGTCGATGATGTGAAGAAATTTTAAATATCAAACCGAAAACATATGGCTGGCTGGGCAAGAAAAATGAACCATGAAAAGCAAATATAAAAAAAGGTTATGGCCAATTATTCAGACAAAAGAAAGGTAAATGTGCCAGGAATTATTTAAATGAAATGAAAATAAAACTGGGAAAAGGATTTTTCCATTAGAAAAATTTGAAATATCTATTTTGTTTATGTAAAACTCATAGCTTCTCTGGGGGTGTAGTAAAATCATAATATTTGACCTGATGATTTCTTAGATATACATAGGGGAATTATGTCTAAGTTTGAACCAATAATCACCAATATCAACAGGGTTCCTCCTTAAATACCAACAGCGGATAAAATCAGAAAAACAGGACTTTGGATTCAAAAAATAAAAATAAAAAATACATTACATTTCTCTATATTTCTCTACATTTAGTAGCAAAAATATGACGGCTCCCAAATGTTTACAAAAATGATTTACTCACCTTCGAGAGGTATGAATTAATCCAATTAGTGAATGTTTTCTTTTGAACACGTTCTTGTTCCTCTGCAAAGAGAAAAAAAATCGAAAATATTTCAATTAATATAATGTATTGGAATAAAAAGTAATTGCATTAGTATTATGTTAAGTCAGGTGTCAGCTTTTGTAACACGATAAAACATACCATAAAATAGTATACAGGGTGACAAAGTCAAACGTAATAAATTTAAATTTTTTTTTAAACTTTATTGAATGAAAACAAAAAATTTCGGAACTAGCATCAATTTTAGAATAAGTTTAGATTTGTTTGAATTGACACTATCATTAATATTTCGTGGAGTTACAAACGGAATGACAAAGCTAATATACCCTCTATAGAATGGTGGAGGGTATAAAAATATTACGATTTACAAAATTTGAACAAAATAGTATGATCCTCTCTTCTTCTTCTACAAGGTAAAGTATTTTCTTTCAGAATATTGTCTTTTGTGGGGGAGGCACCACAAGTAGTGCACCGATATTGACTACTTTCGCATAAAAATGCCTGGAATTGGGGGTTTTCTTTCGACATACAGAAAGGCTAGTTTACCCATCATTTTAGGATTATATGTATAGGGACTTGTTTACATTTATATTCAACATTTTTATAGCATACTTTTAGGCGTCCACCCAATTTTTAAACTGAGCAGAAATACTTTCCGATTTTCTTCAGTTTTCGTTTGATTTCAATATGTAAAAATAGAGTATTTGTTAAATAAGGGAGATATTTCTTAAAAAGTTTTAAATCTGCAACTCTAGTATTCGGAAATATTGGTTCATTTTGAAACTAATGAAAAGTGAACTGACAAGGCCGAGATCGCCAAAATCCAGCAACTGAAATGTTATTGAAAGTATGTTACAACGTAACCTGGGGCCACATAAAAACGACAATTTAAAAAAAATGACAGACATTGATTATTTATTTATTTTTTTTTTTATTGTTGCGAATCTTCAATTTTCAAAACCACACACTCAAATCATTACCAGCTATCATAAAATACACAAGACATTAACCCAGCTCTAATAACATTATGTGTAAGCTATACCAAATAATCATTTAGAGTTCATCATTTTTATGGCCTGCGGTGAACGAAATTAAAAAAAAAAAAAACTAAATAAAAATACGAAACACGAAACCTCTGCCTGTATTAAGTGGTGTAATGTTCAACAACGATCGTGCCCCCATTAGTCAAGCGATATTAGTTTCCCAGTGATGCGTTTTAATGGTTCATCTAATACAGTTATGAACTTTATAAAAAAGCCATAAACTATTTCATTAAAATTAAAAAAATACAGACTTTCGTAATAATGTTAATTCATGCTTCATGGGGAAACAGTTCTCGGGTGAAATTCACAGAGGAAATGCATTTTAATGGGGTGTGAAAAAATCTCTTAAAAAACATTGAGGTGTTTAAATTAAAAAAAACACATACATACATACACATATGTGTATACATCTGTGTAGGAGAATTTATGAATTGAAATTATGGGAAAATATATTAAAAATAAACATAATTAAATTAAATGTGGGTAAAAGCAAAGCAAATATAAATCATGTCGAACTGTGATGAACGAGTCAGCACTAATATATGAGAAAAATAGAAAATTTTTTAAAAATAATTTTTTTAATAATTTCATATGAAATTCCTTTCACTCCATTGTTTAATCGAAATAAATCTAATTTATACCAGATTTAATCGACTTAACGATGCCATTCTGTTTTATTTCGAATGACTTGTGCTATTTGAGTTTATGGTAACCCCCCTCGTTCTTTAATGGCATTTTTATTTCGCATCGTGGAATTTCGAAAATTATGCCATATTAATGTTTATTAGCACACATTCGCACAACGAACCATAATTATCACAAAATGGTATGCAAACAAAACAAAGTAAAAAAGAAAAAAAAAACTTAGAAATGCTTCTTATCAGACATAAGAATGCCAGCTTTGCTATCTAAGAATTTCCAATTTCTAATTTTAGACCGCAGACATTTCCTGCATGGAACGTCCAAACATGCAATGCTAACCCCGAGGCGTGCACACAAGTCCGTCCCATCAGCCAACCTATTTGTTTAATATGTATGACTTAACGGGTTTCGCAAAAGTCATAAAGTTATGCGGCCAATTAGAAAGGTCTGCGGCGAAAAACTTTCTCAAATGTGGAAAGTGCATTTATGAAGTAATGATGTCAAGTAGAATTAGGTGGGGGAATAGAATATAACATAATTTATGTATTTTTTTATATTTGGTTCAATATGAGGTGGAGGTTGAAACTTGTCCTTCCCTTGGGGTTTATGTTAATTTGAGACTTATGGCAAAATAGGACAGATATTCACTGGGTTTATCAGATCCAATGAGTTAAGGCTAGGATACACACAATGCTACAACACTTTTTCTACATTTATGTTAAGAATTTTAATAACATATTATAAGGTGCTTCACACAATTTGTAATATAGTTTATAGTTTATTCATATATTCATAATATAAGGCCTTCAAGCAACGGAGGCCTTTGTCAACTTATAACGTGACAATTGGATTTATGTCCAATAGAAACATCATTGTCTCATCTTCCAAAGAATTCTGTCTCATTTAGGGCATTAGGACATTAAGGCATATAGGACATTGGACAATCGTATTTTGTTCTTTTTTGGTTCTTGCATCCTGATCACCTAGAAAGCGATATAGGATTGATACACCATTTCTGTGTAAGGATTCGAGAGTGAATGCAAAAACACGCCGTTCCTAATAAGTTTCTTTAATTCTGATTTTTTCTGAATTAAATCAAAAATTAAAAAAAAAACATTTAAATCGGTTTATCAGCAATCACTTTCAACCCGCTTACAAAACTGTCCCTATGTCTTTTTTGAAAAATCCGCAAAAATTGAACAAAAAAAATATTGTTCGCAATTTAGATTTAAATCAGTTAAATGATAAAGACCGCACGCGTGCTCTTACGGAGAGCAGTATTTCACGGACACGGGTACCATCAACAAGTGTAAATCTCTCCCCACTTTCAATCAGAATAATGGAAAACAATGCAATTCGAGAGCAATAACAATTGGGAAAACATTTCAGGAAGAAATAAAAGTTTAAATGCCTGCCTCACGCTAATTTTAATAAGTATCAGGCAGAGCTGCTCTTTCAAGTTCTCCCAATTTTGAGGGTATCTCACACTTTCTTTTTAATGGTTTTTTTATGTGTCTGTGTGGAGAGAATTACGCTCACTTAAGGCACGCGAGGCTATACTTTTCTTCCCCTCATTTCAACACTAAATCTTTATTTTATTTATTTAATTTTTTTTTAACAAAATTATGTTTTTTATTTAAATCTGAATGATTTCTCAGATTTTTGAAGCTTTTATCCAGGGATTTGTTCAGAAATTGGTATTTGTAATTCGTAATGGGTTCTAGCTCCTGTGGCGGAACATAGTATGTATAGGTTCACATTTTCGTATGGCCCCCATATAATGGCACCTAACGATATTCAGTGTTTTGATGATTTTTGCCACATTTTTCCAAGGATTTGTCTAAAATTGGTATTTGTAGTTCATAATGGTGGCCGAAATTCGGTATTTTGATAAACCTAGTCACATTTACCAACGAACTTGTGTCAAATTTGGTATTTAAGAAGATTGATTGTCTATAGAGGTTCACGTTTGGGTATGCCCCCCACACAACAGCCTCACCCACTTTATGGTTTTTTGAGCACGTTTGAATGCCGATACTGTTAAATAAAAATATTTTCTTTATGCAAAGGTGGAGGGCTAAAAGTTCGGCCCGCCCGAACTTAATGTTTTTTACTTGTTTATCTAGGAAATGTGCTTTGATGTGTGCGGGCCAAAATAAAAACAAAAATCCCGCTCAAAAGACATATCCTTATAACTATTTTCTCATAATTTTCGTTATTTAGCGTTTATAATTAATAAATAGTGAATATCATTATAGCTTGGAACGGAAGAAAGAACAGCACAGTTACAAAAAAAAAAAAAAATATTATATATTATTGAATTATTGAAATCGGATAGAACAAATATATATGGAACTAAATCTTAATCTGATTCGATTTATAGTTGTATGAAACCACTCGTAACCAATATCATTGCTTCAGAGAGCATATTGCGAAGTTATGTATGCATAAATATAAAAACTTGGTACAAAAATTATATATAAAAAATTTAAAAATTAAATTGAATTTTAATTTTTTCCAAATTTAATAAATAATTAGTTTTGTAATTCGTGTTATTAAATCCAGTAATCAAGTACTTAGAATTCTTCGACAAAATTTTATGTCACAAATATTGGCCTCAAAACCGTCACTATTACTTGACGTAATAAAGCTTATTAATGATAAGTACAACGCACGTACGTCACACGCACAAACACCTCGACAAAGAGAAAATACGACTCACCTCATGTCAGTCGAAGCAGTGGTCATTAAGAAAAACATTCTTCAAGAGAATTAAAAAAAAACTGGGCAATTTTCCAAAAGAAAAAGAAAACCTCTAACATACACACATACATATACCCATACTTATGTTTACATATTTAACAAATATATATAATTTGAATTCAAATCGAATTGCTGCAAAGCCAAACACGATAGTGGCTACTCTGAGGCGTGTGGCCGGCAATTAGATGGCAAAGTGTAAACAAAGTCATTGTAACAAAATAATGTAATTGGCCAAAAGATAAGATACGAAATACGCTCACACATACACATGCACACAAACTACCACACCAACCAAAGTCGGACAAGATTTACACACAAAAGGCGTGCATAAATTAATTATCAATGTACTTTGCTGGGTACTACTCTTAATTTTTTTCAATTACAACATTTTTAGTTGTGATTCTTTTTTTGTTGCAACATGTATTTACACAACAAACAACAAAGAAATAGAATTAATTGCGATAATAATCTAAATTGGTGGTCAATTTTTTTTATCAGAAACATATGTATGTACCAAATTGGCGTAGTGGTCTTAGAGAGATCTGTCATTAAAAATACTCGAACACAATTTACTT